CATTTCTTTGCATTTATTTTTTGGGGGATTGTCACAAAGGTTGACTTTAGCCAATCATTTGGTATCTTTCCTGTTTCATATATTCGATTGAAGAGCTGCAGTAAAAATTTCTTCCCATTGTCTTCCAGCAATTTTAAAATTTCTACTGGGATATCATCAGGTCTGGTGGATTTTCTTATTTTTGCTATTTTTATTGTGTGTTCAACCTCCTCCATAGTGATGTTTGGTCCAGTTGTTATACTTCCCATATCAATATCATCCCTAGTGTCCTCAAAAAGTTCTCCAATATGTTCCTTCCATCTTTTTAGTTTTTCATCCTCATCCAAGATGATTTCCCCTTCTTGTCAGCTAAGTTGTTGGTTTTCTTTTTGTAGACACCTGCTGCTTCTTTCACTTTTTTGTATAAGTTGAAATTATCATGAATACGCTGTCTCTATTTCTTTGCATCTCTTTGCAAACCACTTTACTTTTGCCAGTCGAATTTTTCTTCTAATTGTTTTCTGCAATTCATTGTATTTTTCTTTGTTTTTATTTTTATAAGAGCGTCTTTCATCCATGAGATGAAGAATTTCATCCATTATCCACTGTTATTTCTTGTGGTATCTCTCTCTTTCTTTTGAGTTTGTTACCTCTACTATTGCATTTTAAATTTATTCCAATTTCACTTCTACATCTTCATTATTTAGGTTGTTGGTTTCTCTTAAATGAATTTCTAGTTCTTCTTTTATCTTATCTCCATGTTTAATGATGAAGACATTGTCAATTCTTGGTTTAGGAGGATTCGGGTTTTTCATCTTTTTTTAATTTAAGCTGGACCTTGGCAAGTAGTAAATTATGACCGGATGGTACATCTGCGCCTGGGTATGTCTCTGGTGATTTTACTGAGTTTCTAAATCTTTTGTTTATTGTAAAATAGTCAGTTTGGTTCCTTACTATATTATTTTGTGTATCTGCCAGTGATCTCCAAGTGTATGCTTTCTATAGAACTTATCATTTAGTATACACATATTCCCCAAGTTGCTATATTTTAAAAAGTATACTTATAGAATTTTATATAAAAATCTTCAACCAATTAATAAGATCAGAGTTTTTTCGAGTTCATAATACTTTTCATATTTTTACAAAAAGGTTTAAATTAAATTAAACCAATGTTTCATAAACGTTAATAATTTCTTGCAATCCAGTTCTTTCCAACAGCTTAAGATATTTTCAGAAGTAAATAATATTTAAAAAGTGCATTTTGTAATAAAAGTTCCCACTGTCAAAAACACTGACTTATCTCTCTTAGGTACTTAGTTTTCACATCCTTATTTCTTGTGCTGCAAACATTCAAAGCATTTTAACTGGGCCCAATGAAAAATGGTAAAAACCATTTTAAAAAGTGAACGAGATCTGTTGCTACAGACAGAATCTTAGTTTCCAGATGCATGAATTCCTCATTTTAAATAATTATAATTTCATATTTATTTTTTTAATAAAAATATTAAAATTGTATATACACAAAAAAAACTATCCTAGTGTAAGTAATGTGCCTTACTGAGTAAAATAATTTACAAGGACTAATGATTTATAGGATTTTACAATTATTTGCACTTATGGTTTCTAAATAGTTTCGTAGGCTGTATATTTATAGAAAAAAAACTTGCTAGCATTTCTCCAAAAAATTCAATTGGAGTGTTATGTATCTGAGTCAACAATAGTTCACCTATATTATGTAGACCTTTTTTTTAGGACACTTACTTCTTTGGCATGTAAGTATTGTATGATTGCATGTTAAAAAAATAGAATACTCTTTCTGTGCAAAATATTTCTAAGACTGTTCTTTATATGCATATATTTAAAAAATTAAACTAAACTTTTGACCAAGATAGCTGATGATCAATGGAAAATATACAATTTGATACTTTAGGCTAGGTTAGAGTAAATCATGTTCTATAATCGGTAAGAAAAACTGCTGTAAATTCCATTTGATGACTGAATTTCCCACTCAAATTTGTTTAGTGTTTTCATATATAGACAATATAAACAGCAAGTAGACATATATTTCAATAGTCAATTAACCACTTGATATATTCTAGGAAATATGACATACTCATTTTCTTGGATGTTTGAATTTAGACTTTGATGCCATTTAAGTTCCAAACTCAGAATGTCCACATTTTATTTTTCATATCTGACAGTTTGTTCTCCATTATATAAATATAACTTTATTTCAGTTAATACCAAGATCTTTCTTGAACTTTACAGGATTATATTTTTTTCCATGAATATAGGACTTACATACAAAAATAACCAACTCCTTATGTAATTCCTTATATAATTCAAAATGGCAAATTCTTTTAATGATATATTCATTATGGCTTCTTTTTCTGGAAAATAATCATTTGAAAAGATAAATTGGGAAGAATAAATTCTACTGTCTGTTTCAAATAATATATCTTTGATCAGTTTCACCAGATTGTCTATATTTCTGAATATATTCAGAGTTCAGAACAACTTCGTAATACATATAGTGCCATACTTCTACGTGAAAGACTTTACTTTCAGATATATGAATGGAACCTAAGAAATTTGCTTGAGCAATGAAATCTTGTTTGGATTGCTTACATTAATTAAACAAGCATGCATAATTCAAGATACTATTTCAAACTATTAAAATGTTAAGCATTTTGCGAAATGCAACTTCTATAATCAAATCCATACATTTTATTTTCATACATAATGCATTTTATATTCATACATAATGCATTTTAATAAATTTATAAGGATGTTATTTTATCAATTAATATCACTAGGAGTTGTTGACTATTTTCTGCAAATATCAAAATAATGATGAATTATATGAAATAAGTAACGTGTAATACTACATAGGTATAATATGTGACTACATCATTTATTTAAATATCAGGCATTTCTTTCACACTTAAAACAACAGTCTTTCACAAATATGTTTATTTTATTATTTAATGGAGCCATTTTATAACATTTTATTAGTTCAGACTCAAGAAATAATACATTTTACAACTTAAATTGTTTTATAATATAAAATTAATATATATCTTTTAGAAGACTCAAACTTTTTTTTCTGTATTTTATGTTTTCTCCAAGAACTAAACTTCTTTCATTTAGTTCTTATGCACCTTCCTTGCTCCCAGCAAAGGTTTACTTAAAAGACATATAAAATACCCAGCCATTATTTTAACACTATAAATCATATACTGTAGTAGCAGAATTTAAATAATGATTCACTATGTTCCACAGACAGCTTTTACCTTTGGGCGTTTTTTTTAGTAGTCATAGCCAATCATCACTTTCCTCTTCCATTATGCTTCTTTATGGCAGACTGAGATGCTTTATGGCAGACTGAGATGCATTACAAAGAGAACACACCTGAACTCAGAAGTAGAGCATGCTCTGACAGTGCTAATGCTACAGTTCTCAAGTTAACAGGGCTCAGTTGGAAACAGAGTGAAGTCATTGAAAAATTAGTAATTTGCAAACCTAATTTGGCACACTACTTTACCTTAAAAACAGCATGTAGTTGTTGTTTGTTTTTTTTTTGAATGACAGAGTTAGAAAGTAGTTTGAATCAAACAAATTACTAAAAATATAAAACACCAATATCATTCTTAGAGTTTATGAGTGTTGTATTTTTAAGCAATGGATTAGCAGTAGATAATCTGTTCTAAATGGACATAAAAATAACATATTTGCTCTCCAACTTTTTAAAAACTGGACAGAAGTAACACTGATAGATTTACATCAAATGAAAAGATAAAAGCACACTTTAAGGAAATATTGCTTAACTTATATCAATTGGCATAGCTTAGTTGGATAAGCTCTCAGCATGAACTTAGATATATGGGAGGTGACAAAATGAACCCATGCTTTTTATTTATATGTATATAAACAAAGCATCTGACACAATTTAGACTCTCAGAACAAATGTATAGCATGACAGCAATGAAGGAATTGCAAGCAATGAACACTGCAGACAGCCTGCCAATTTCAAATACTTAAATGAGATGCAGAAAGCTTCACTTCCATGACATCATAAGGATGCTAACCCAAATATGCTACTTCTTACCATATCAAAACACAGCTGTTTAGTAATACAGTTATCTGACAAACAATGTGTGTTGTTTTATTAGACTTCTGTCTACCTTAAGTGAATGTTTCACTGACTTTTTTGGCATTTTAAGCTACATTTAGAAGCAGTGAGGAAAAAATGTAATAATAATCACAACAATAATCATGTTAGGAAATATTTGTAACTATTTTAATGTTAAAGGAATTATTTGAAATTTGCCTACATGTAATTTCAGAAGTTATAATAAAAAAGAGGCAGCAAATTTAACTTCAAATGTTAAAGAATAACACAACACTGATATATATTGAATCTTAACTGCAAGCAAATCAGGCTGAAAGTCACTTATTTCCATAACATTTGCCTGTTTATCAGATACTTTGAATGTTGTTCCTAAATTATCTATCTTCTATTATTTACGATAGAATGACCATAGATGCAAAAAGTGCCTTACATGCAAGATAAAAATCTGGTAGCAATGAGCCTGGAGATATGTGGTGCAGAATCTTTTGCTCAGCTGGTAAACTTTTTATCAATGTTTCTTCGTTCTTTTTTTAAAAAAAATCAGTTTTGAAACGCACATATTTGAATTCAAAGTCATCTTAATGGTAGGCATATCTTTCAAAACGAACCACCGAAGTATTCTGAACATTCAAGGAACAGTAATGTACTGCTATTTCAAAACCCTTAGGTTATATATGACATGCTAAAACAGTGCGTCAGACAGACTTAGATTCAGTTCACAAGTCTCTTTTCCCTGCTCGTGTGTCAGACGACCTGACCAAATCGAAACAAGCAGACATAGCAAAGACAGGACAAGAAAGCATAGGCTGTTACAAATGGTACAGAAAAAATAACATGCGGCAGGCACGTAGATATAGGTTGTTGGGGGCGGGAAGTGTCTTGGTTTTACCTTGAGTGAACACACTGGATATGGCTCCAGCGTCTTGATGAAATTGGATTTTAGCTGCAGTCAAGAATTCTCTTACAATACTCTTGTTTTCCTGTAAAGCATGGTCTACTCCCGCCTCCTCTTTCTTCCTGGGTTGGAGAGGTGTTACTCCTGATTTCTTGGCGCTCTTTCTCCGGGGCTGGTGTCTTACTGTGCGCCTCTTTGTACCAGTGTGTACTGCTCACTTCTTCGGCTGCAGGCTATGATTCTGATTATTATGAAGACTACAATAATCTCTCCCTGTGCTTTCCTCAGATTTCTCTAGAGGTAGCATTTATTGTCTCTTCCTAGATCCCGCCGAGCCGGCAGGTTCATCTGTCCCCTCTCAGAGCCTTTCTTAACCCTCTGCTTTGGCTTCTTCGAACGTCGCAAAGTCTCCCCTTTGCTTCTCTCTGTCCACCCGCTTTCCTCACCCCTCTTCTTTTGTCTGTTCTGTCCGCTTCCCACCCTCTAGCCCAATCCTTTGGCAGTGTGTGGCTGGCTGAGTCTCGCGTCCCTTCTAATGCTTTGTCTCACTTCACTACTATCTGCTTGCGAGTCCCAACTCTTGTCTCTTCTTCCACCTCTTCCTCAGCCTCGCTTCTTCCCGCCCACACAGCGGACCAGAGACAACATGCTGGTCGCTCTCCCACTTTGTCGGCTCGGCCCTTTGTCGGCCCTTTGCTCTCTTGCGCGTCCCTTCATTCTGCCAGAGCAGCGGCAACAACGAAGAGTGACTCCGCCGCTATTGGGATGGATGAACAGACCGAGGGATAACCTCCCTTTTTGTTAACTCCACAATCGGAGGACCACATGGCAAAGCTAGCTCCTGCTTGCCTGTCCGCCTTGCGCGCATGTGTGTGTGTGTGTGTGTGTGTGCCCGCGCACGCGCGCGCATTTAGCGGCATCCATCCGTCCCCCTCTCGTTCTCCAGCTGTACACGCGCCCGCCCATCCTCAACCTAAAGCTGAGACACAAAGCATACGAACAACACTAATCAGGAAATCCATTAATCTTTGCAGTTCCTCCCGCTCGGTTATATCTTCGTGTTCTCTTCTCCCATCCCACAAATCTATAAACCCTTCTTCTACCAGAATATTAAAATAGAATTTTTATTTTAAATCTATTATTTCTTCTTCTACTTGTTTTTCCTCCCACCCCCAAATAAAATAACATTGTATTTCGTTTGATTTGCCCGAATTTTATATACCGGTAAGTGTAGTGGGGGACAGTCACCATCTGTTTTCATTGGAACAGAGATTATATTTTCTAATAATAGCTATTTTAAATTCATAATTTTGTTTTAAAAGATAGCAGCTACATATTGAAACACTTGAGTTCCATGGCATTGTTTGTACTGAATCTGAGAGATACAAGTTGCTTGGTGTAATGTTTTTTAAATGATAAATAAACATCAAATAATCTATGTAGAATATTTGATGTTCAGGAGCAGTGCAGTTCTATAATGAGTTTAGTTCTTAAACTTGGTCTTGCAATTGATCTATTCAATCTTTTAATGAGCTAACCTAGAAGAAAGTTGTATTACTGCTGTTTAAGTATATTGAATTGTGGGGAGGTTTCCCCCGAGAATTCGAATTTCCCGGCTGCTAGGGCCTCGCTGGTGTGAGGAAAGAATTTGCAATCAAAGCGAGCTGCGTGCAAGCGAGGTTTCTTTATTTTTCAGGAAGCCCAGTCTAGCCGTGGCGAGGATCAGTGTTCCTGGGTGGGCCGACAATAATATGAGGTAAGTATACATTTTTATACTTTATTTTACAATGAAAGTTCTTTGTTTTCTTTTGTTCTTTTGTGTGTGTCCCTTTTGTGTGTGTGCTTGCTGATCTTCTTGTGTTTTCTTATTCTAATTTCCTTGATTTACTTAATGCTGGGTGAGGCTTCAGTTCAAGTGTTATCTGGGCATGTGTTCCTGTCCTTCCTATTGCTCTGTCTTTCACTCTAAACTAATGTTGTTATCAAATTCCCTTACACCCGGCTTAACTTTTTTTTTTTTTATTGAAAAAGTTTTCAAATACAAATTTTTCCCCCTTTTTTCCCCTCTCCCTCCCCCTCCCTAACCCCCCCTCCCCACCCATCCCCCCTGTGACTTCTTCATAACAAAAAAAAAACCTAATTCATAACAGATTACTTACTCCCTCCTCTAGATATTGACCTTTACTTACTAAAAATATTATTAATATTATAACATCCCCCTTTATCCATACATATCAAAAAAGAGAAAAGAAAGGGGAAAAAAAAAGACATTATACTATGACATTGTAGAATAACTTCTCCACTTTAAAACTATACGATAAGTCCTACTTTAACATTTAATCTTCTATATATATTACTATAACATTTCAAAGCGGCCTTCCCCATAAAATCTAGTTTAACATTTATTCCACTCTATCCATTTCCTCCACTCCCCTAAATATAACACTTAAAAATCCCTTTTCTTAGACTAATCAATCTACTAACTACTTATTCACCCACTATCATGCAAAATTGCCATACACAACATTTCTTAACATCTTTGATTCACTGCCCACACTACTTAAAAATATATGTCTATATTTTCCATTATATCTAAATAAAAAAAAAGAAAAGACAATGACTTTAAATTTATAATCCATATAGTATCTTCTTTGAGGTCTTTCCACTGGATTGGTAGAACCAACATCCATAATCGGGTAACATAGCTTACTGGTGCAACAGTTTATTCAGGATCTTCAATCATATCTGCCCCCATCAGTAGTAAATATCTTCTTATATGTATAAAAGTAAAAACAACCACCCAGTGACATTATAATTATATTCCATATAGTAATAATTGTGGGTTTCATCAGGATTATTAATTCCCATCATCGTAGTGGGTAACAACCCGATCTTCTGCATGCCCCAGCATAATTCTCTTGCCTTGTGATTCAAGATAATATAATATGTTTATCAACACAAAAAGAAATTCCAAAATGGATAATTCAAATCCATCAGTTTAAGGCTCGTTTCACGTCCCCAGATTACGGCCAGCATGCAGAGATCTGCCACAAACCTCAGGATGATATTAACCAATACGTCGCCTCTTCTGTGTTTACACATAATCGTTCATATTTTAAAATCACTGGCTTCACTGTTGCCTGATTTAGAAATTTCTGTTTTTATGCCACCTATTTCTTTTTTTCTTTTCTTTTTGTGGGTTTGGTTTCCATCCTGGTTCCCTTTCTACAAAGTGTGTATCATTCTGGTCGGTTTTTATTCTGCTTTGTAGATTGGTCTTGTTGGTTTTGCTTTTGTATCTCATATTTCTTTTTTATCCCTTGTATATCCCCTAATTGGTTTCCATGTTTATCCTTGCCTTGATAAGTCATCACATTAAGATTAGATGCCTCTTCTCTCAAATTTGTAGATAGTCCAGCTGGGTATCCAATAAATCCAAAGGCAATTCATCTGGTACAGTCTCTGTAATTCGATATTTTACCTTTTTTTCCGGCTCCTTCTGCTTATCCTGTATTATACCTGGAGATGTTAAGTTCATTTTCAACCTATTTTGATAAAATTCTTCCGCTCTTTCAACAGTATTTAGCTGATATCTTTCTCCTTGGTATCTAAATATAATACCAACTGGGCGTCCCACCTGTAGGAGATATTTCTCTTTTTTAACTCATTCACCAGAAAACCAAATTTCTTCCTTTCCATCAATATCTTAGGTGGGATTCCTTGTAAATCCAAATCTTTCTTCCATACAATTGCAAATTAGAATTGAAGGAATTTTGAACGATATTATTCCTAATTTCCTTATCTGTAAAATAAATCACCACATCTCTAGGCAATTGCCTTTGCTTAGCAATCCAGGAGTTGATTCGATAAACTCTGTCGATCCTACAAAACACTTCGTCAGTTTGAACCTTTAGAATCCCAGCTAGAAATTCAGAAGATATTTTCCTTAAATCATCTCTATTATTTTCCTGCAAACCTCTTAATCTTATCGCATATTCTGTGAAATTATATTGTACCATTAAAATCTCTTTTTCAATCTTCTGTTGCAGATTTTCTGCATTACCATACTTTTGATCAGCATCCATTTTAGGTTTTTCTTCTAAGCTATTATCCTGAGTGTTTGTCAGATCATTTTCAATTTTTTGAATTCTATTGTCCAATTTATCTTGAATTTCTTCCATTTTAGACTCTAGTACATTAGTATTTGTGTCCAACTGTATCATAAATCCTGTAAAACCATTAACCACTTTTGAGAGTTTTTTTCTCCAAAAAATCAAACTTAGATTTCACCAATTCTTTAATTTCCTGCTTAAATTTTTCAAATTGCTGATTCACAATCTCCTCCCTTCTTTCAATCTCCTCTATAAAAAATTCTATTATATTAAAATCAGGTTTCTGAGACTGAAGAATTAAGACTTGTTCCTTTAAGTTGTTGGTGGGGGGATCCCCCCCCTTCTTGTTTATCTGACTTTATGAGTCTCAGTGCCATGTTTCCGCCCAGGCAGGCTTTGTTAAAAAAAAAAAGCAAGAAAGAAAAAAAAGGGACTTCTTTCCAATCAACAACAATATCAGGTCTCCAAGGGAAAAAAAAAGAGAAAAAGACACAGGAGCAAAGTTTTGTCTACAAATGTAGCCAGTGGTATTTATTCCGCTACATTGTAGTAATAGAAAACGGAAAGACTTTCCCTTTCAGCCTCTCCTCCAGCCGACGCCATTTTAAAAGGCTTTTTTTTTTTCCTCTTTCCTCTCCTCCTCTCTCTTAAGTAATTTTTTTTTTTTAAATCAGTAAAATACTTGCGGTTCAATATTACAGGTCCAGCTCACATTTTCTTTGAGTAGTCTGTTAAATTTGCAGGCTTGCTTTTGACGCCTGGCTCTGCATCAGCAGAGGTCTCCCAAAGCCCGGAGCGGCGGCTGGGATACGGGGCATCTCATCCGCTCCGTCCCAAAAGTAAAAAAAAACCTTTGGGACTCCGCAGAGAGTTCTACCCACCCCTGCCGGCTCTATCTCCGTTTCCTCATGGAAACGGAGTTTTTTCGAGCCGCCATTCCGTTGTGAAGGCGGCTCTGACAGGCGATGGAAGCTGACGATCCCAAAGGAACGTCTGGCAGCGGCAAACAGCAACCCGGAAGTCCTCCTTTTTTGTAGGGTCATTAAGTAAACCCATTTTCTTCAATTTTTTTTTTGCTGAAAACAAAGTAAACACTGGAAACTGGCAAAAGATGCCAAAAAAATTGTTGTCATGTGATTGGGGGACATTGTAACAGTGACAGTCATAAATGCCAGCCAGTTGGCAAGTATCCAAAATACAGTCACATGATTGGGGCTGTGGCCATCAGAACTCTGGGACCAGGTTGTAAGTAGCTTTGGGTGGCGGTGGCCCCATGGTAACTTTGGTCACTATGTGAGGATTAATTGTAATTAGTCTTTATAATATGGCCTATCTATAGCCTATATGTATATGAAATTACATCAGAATGCATAAAAAAGATATTAATATTTTATTAAAACAAAAAAATGGTACGGCAAATCTGACATTCTCAAGGCATGTAGTATAAAGCAGCTTAAGGTAACTAGCTGATTAACAGCTGTATCATGATCAAGGCTCTAATGAGGTTGGACTGCTGGGCACTTCAATGGATTTAGGCAACCAGAACTCTGATGGGTTAATTCTAAGCAAACTACGCCAGTTACGATAATCCTTTTCAAATATTCATGTGCAAAACAGGTAGAACAATATAAGCCTGCAGGAAACTAGGGAAAGAATGAGGGTCCAGGGGTTTCTGGGGGTTCCTAAAGGGACAAGTCTTTATGAGATCTTTACCATTGGAAGGCTTTAGCACATGTTCATCATTGATTTCAGCAGGTCAATAC